CCTTGAGAACGGGAACCAGACAAGGATGCCCTTTATCACCACTCTTATTCAACATTGTGCTGGAGGTCCTAGCCAGAGCAATTAGGCTAGAAAAAGAAATAAAGTCATCCAAATTGGTAGGGAAGAAGTAAAAGTATCTCTATTTGCAGATGATATGATCTTATACACAGAAAACCCCAAAGAATCCACAAGAAAACTACTGGAACTAATAGAAGATTTCAGCAAAGTTTCAGGATACAAGATAAACATACAAAAATCAGTTGGATTCCAGTACATCAAGTAAGAGAACTTTGAAGAGGAAATCACTAAATCATTACCATTTACTATATCCCCCAAGAAGATAAAATACTTGGGAATAAATCTAACCAGAGACGTAAAAGACCTATACAGTGAAAACTACAAGACACTACTGCAAGAAAGCAAGAGAGACCTGCATAAGTGGAAAAACATACCTTGCTCATGGATAGGAAGACTCAACATTGTGAACATGTCAGTTCTACCCAAAGCTATCTACAGATACGATGCAACCCCAATCCAAATTCCAACGCCATTTTTTAATGAGATGGAGAAACAAATCACCAACTTCATATGGAAAAGGAAGAGGCCCTCGATAAGTAAGCATTACTCAAGAAGAAGAACAAAGTGGTAGGCCTCACACTACCTGATTTTAGAACCTATTATACCGCCACGGTAGTCAAAACAGCCTGAACTGGTACAACAACAGATACACAGACCAATGGAACAGAATTGAGAATCCAGACGTAAATTCATCTACCTATGAGCAGCTAATACTTGAAAAAGGCCCACAGTCTGTTAACTGGGGAAAAGACAGCCTCTTTAACAAATGATGCTGGCATTAACTGGATATCCACCTGCAGAAAAATGAAACAAGACCCATACCTCACACTATGCACAAAAAAATGGATCAAAGACCTAAAAATTAAAATCTAAAACAATAAAGATCATAGAAGAAAAAATACAGACAATGCTAGAAGCCCCAATACATGGCATAAATATAATACAAAACATTACTTACAATGCACAAGCACAGAAGAGAGCTAGATAAATGGGAGCTCCTAAAAATCAAACACTTATGCTCATCAAAAGACTTCACCAAAAGAGTCAAAAGACAACCTACAGACTGGGAAAAAAAGTTTGGCTATGCAAATCCAATCAGTGCCTAATCTCTAAAATCTAAAAGATACTGCAAAATCTCAATAACAAAAAGACAAATAATGCAATTAAAAAATGGGCAAAAGATATGAACAGGAACTTCACCAAAGAAGACATTCAGGCGGCTAACAGACACATGAGGAAACACTCACTATTATTAGCCATTAGAGAAATGCAAATGAAAACTACAATGATATACCATCTTACCCCAAAAAACACAAAATAATAAATGTTGGAGAGGACGTGGACAGACCGTAACACTGTTGGTGGGAATGTAAAATAGTACAATCACTTTGGAAATCTATTTGGTGCTTCCTTAAAAAGCTAGAAACAGAAGTAACATAAGATCCAGCAATCTCACTCCTTGGAATATATTCTAGAGCAATAAGAGCCATCATACAAATAGATATATGCACACCGATGTTCACTGTAGCACTGTTCACAACAGCAAAACGATGGAAACAACCTAGTGGCCCACAAACGGATGAATGGATAAACAAATTATGTATATTCACACAACGGAATACTACACAATAATAAAGAACAACGATGAAGCCGTGAAACATCTTATAACATGGAGGAATCTGGAAGGCGTTATGCTGAGTGAATTTAGTCAGTTGCAAAAGGACAAATATTGTATGAGACCACTATTATAAGAACTCAAGAAAAGGTTTAAATACAGAAGAAAACATTCTTTGATGGTTACAAGGGTGGGGAGGGAGGGAGGAGGTATGCACTAACTAGTTAGTAGATGAGAATTATCTTAGGTGAAGGGAAGGACAGCACACACTACAGGGGAAGTCAGTACAACTGGACTAAACCAAAGCTAAGACATTTCCTGAATACAGCCAAATATTTGGAGGGACAGAGTAGCAGGGGTGGAGTTCTGGGGACCACGGTTTCAGGGGACATCTAGGTCAACTGGCAAAACAAAAAGTTTATTAAGAAAATGTTTTACTTTCCACTTTGGTGAGTGGCGTCTGGGGTCTTAAAAGCTATCGAGCGGCCATCTAAAATGCATCAATTCGTTCCAACCCACCTGGAGCAAAGGAGAATGAAGAACACCAAAGACACAAGGAAAATATTAGCCCAAGAGACAGAAAGGGCCACATAAACCAGACTTCATCAGCCCGAAACCAGAAGAACTAGATGGTGCCTGGCTACCACCAACGACCGCCCTGACAGGGAACACAACAGAGAGTCCCTGATGGAGCAGGAGAAAAGTGGGGTACAGAACTCAGATTCTAGTAAAAAGACCAGACTTAATGGTTTGACTGAGACTGGAGGGACCCCGGAAGACATGGCCCCCGGACTCTCTGTTAGCCCAAAACTAAAACCATTCCCAAGGCCATCTCTTCAGACAAAGATTAGACTGGACTATGGGACATAAAATGATACTCGTGAAGGGTGTGCTTCTTAGCTCAAGTAGATACAGGAGAGTAACTGCGTAGCTCCGGTCTGGAGGCAAGATGAGGAGGCACAGAGGATCAGGAGTTGGTTGAATGGACACAGGAAGTCCAGGGTGGAAAGGAGGAGTGTGCTGTCACAATATAGGGAGAGCAACTAGGGTCACATAACAATGTGTGAATAAATTTTTATACGAGAAACTTACTTGAATTGTAAACTTTCACATAAAGTACACTTTAAAAAAAAAACTGTATTCCACTCCTCTAACATCTCTCAGATTTTTTGCAAGTCATCAACAACTCATACAGCATGTGTAAATGCTGATATACTCTGGATCTTATGAGAATGTATCAGTGAAATGTTTTCAGACAACAGCCAGGATTCATACTCCTTCGTTAAAATTGTCTTTATATCTAGCAGTTGGTAGGTTCACAGTACAACCTAGTACAAATACTGAGGGGGTTAGTTAGTGCTTTGGGACAGAAGCCAACAATGACTGACTCTGCGTTAGCTATTCCAGAGGCAGTGTTCAACTGCCTAAATTTCCTATCTCTTAAGAGGACTGGAAAAGTGACAAGTTCAGAGCCATCCATGGTGGTGTTGCAGATCTTATACATGAAGATAACACCCCAAGCCATGACATGGTTGGTCCATTTGGAAAATTTTGTCGAACATGTGTTTATACACATCTGTAACCACCATGTTTTCTGTAGCAATGCCAGCAGGTTTAAGCAGAGCCTCTCACATTTCATACAGAGGCTCCATCATCAGTACAGTCACATGATACCAGACAGGTCTTCAGGGTGAGTTTGTAGACACCAAAAAGGCCTCCACAGTTAGATCTTTCTTCAAGGATAATGGGAGAGTTAAATAGCAATGAGAGTCAAAGTCAAATTCTGGTCAAAGAAAAGTAGATATGAAAAGGCCATGGAAAGTGCCCACAGAGCCATTTTATAATCTGTGATTTTGCCAGGCTTCTTTTGCCACTACATGTGGTCACCCATTGGCATCCTTCAGCTCCAAGTACAGATGCTTCTTCCCTCAGTTCAGATCTGTGTGCAATCCATCCAGATAAAAGACAGCTCCTGAGACTCCTGTTGCTGGTAACCAGGAACCTAAGAGGCAAAATGTCCCACCTGAGTTTTGATCATGGATGGGGCCATGTGAGCACTCCTCCCTGACCATATCTGTATCTACTCAGCCTCTGCAATTTCCCTTTCCATCCCCAGAGCACTGTCTTAGTTGATTTCAGCGTCAAGACATCTTTCAGAAAAAGTCAGTGGTGCGGGGTTGCTCAAGCCTTGCAAAATTCATGAAACAAGTATTCTAGGTCTCTAAGTCCACAGGCTGTGTATAAGACGAATGAGAATCCCAACAACTATGCAACACAGAGAAGTCAGATCCCTTTGACTGCAATGGTCTGCCTGGTCTTCATTTTGCGGTTCAATTATAAGAACTTGACTGTGGTAGAGCCCACAGTCCTAGACTGTGTTGTCTGACTTGTTTAGCTGCTCAAAGCTGTTGCTTACGTACTTATTCCAGAGTATGTTTCATGCTCAGCAGGATGCTAAACAGCTTCCTCATCTCCTTTCTCAATGGTCACAATGGTGTCTGCTTTGCTGAAATGGCAACTTGGCAAACTGACGGGGTCACTGTTCTCATAGCACTTCAACTCCAACAAATATACCTCCACTTTGTAGTCTTGACAAACAGGTCATTTGCCACTCCTTTTGTGATAATGGCTTTGCTGCCCTTCTACACAGTGATTATCAATTTAGTAACTTATCTGAAGCCTCAGTGGAGAACAATACATAGTCCAGGTCAACAATTAAGTGTTATTTTAAGATTTGACTAACAGGATCTAAAGAGTCCAGAGCTATCTATTAAAACAGGAAAAGGCTGTATTCATCCACATTGCATATATCTCAGCTGTGGAAGCCCATATACCACTTCAATGGGTTGTCAATCAACTATCATTGCATCCTCCCCGCAAAGTGTGTGCTTCATCAAGGCCCAAGTTTAGAATTCTTGATCTGTTTCTGGTCATTCTCAGCAGCCTCTGCCTTTCACCATCTCATCCACAACTCAGGCCCAACTAATCCAGACAGCCACCACAACGTGCTGCCCTACATATGCAAGTGCCCAAGTCCTGCCTTGCTACTATGCCACTTGATATAGTCCCAAAAATCTTTCATGGCTTCCTTGCTTTCTGGCACAAAATGTTCCAGGTTCATCTTTTTCATCTGCCCCAGACCTGGAATCAGCCATTTATCCAAGAAGCCATGAATCCCTCTAGTGGAAAATGGTATTAAATCTGGATGCTAGGACTTTTCATTGGTACTGAGTTGTCAGTGCTTCTAGGTCACATCAGTGCTTATACTAAACTTACATGCAAGCCTGGTGAAAAAAAAGTAACTTACAGGCAAAGGAAACAGCTTTCCATTTACTTTTATACACAGGCTATTGGGATAGTTATCTTCTTGAGGGCAACTTGTCTCTGCCAGGCAAAGTCTGTATTAAAAAAAAAAAAATTCTTAAATAGTGTGCTCAAACATGCTTATGTATTTTAAAATGCAAGACAATGCACACGTTATTTAGAAAACGTAAAATTAAGTACCCGAAAACTTCAAACTCACCTCAGCTGAACTTGGACTGTATAATCTCTCCTTCCACCTGGCAAAAAATCCCTTTTGGGAAGAGAAAGACATTAGGTTAAGAAAGTGCAATGAGAATTCACAGCAACACTCTCACCAGAAAAAGCATATTCCTATTTTTATTATTAATCTTTAAAAGGTGAATATTCGCCTACCAGTAGCAACCAACAGCACAAGCCTTACTCAAAACACTGTAGTGATAACCTCCATTTGCTTAACTTCTAAGGTATTTTTAATTCACAGAAACTTTCATGATGCAACATTTATTTCATTAGGCACCTAATGTCAAACATAGATTTGGTTAACTTGGAAAAAGGAGCACCCCTAGGTTCTAAAAGAGTTTAGTAAATCAATCTGTTTGCTTATAGTGGTTCTTAACTTTGGTTGAACATTCTAATCACCTGAGGACTGTTTTAATACAGAGCCCCATTCACCAGATATTCTTATTGGAGTATGCCCTAAGCAGTCATAGTTTTTAAAATTGCTCTGGTGATTTCAATAGAGTCAGGATTAAGAAGTATGGCCTAGAGTCTCAAATCTTCTCTATACCATGGGCAACTTCATAATTATGCATCCACTTACGGATACAGAACCTCTTATAATTTCTAGTAAGAACCCAATAGAGTCCATATAAACTATCTTTGGCTACAAATGCAGAATCTCAGGCCCCAGATCCAACGTGCATATTAACAATAACAGGATCCCTAGGTGATTTGTATGCGTATTACAGTTTACGAAGTATTGTCCTAGCAAAAAGATGGAAACAGTCTAAGTGTCCATCAACAGATGAATGGATAAACAAATTATGGTACATACACACAGTGGAATACTACACAACAATAAAGAACAATGATGAATCCACAAAACATCTCACAACATGGATAAACCTGGAGGGCATTATACTGAGTGAAATAAGTCAATCACAAAAGGACAAATACTGTATGAGACCACTATTATAGAAACTCAAGAGAAGGTTTACACACAGAAAGAAACAATCTTTGATGGTTAGAAGGGGGAGGGAATCATTAACTAGATAGTAGATAAGCATTAACTTTGGAGAAGGGAAAGACAGTGCACAATATAGGGGAAGTCAGCACAACTTCACGAAGGCAAAGTCACAGAAGTTTCACAGACACATCCTAACACCCTGAGGGACTGCATTACTGGGGCTGATGGGGACCATGGTCGCGGGGGTCATTTAGGTCAACTGGCATAACAAAGTTCATAAAGAAAATGTTCTACATTCTACTTTGGTGAGTAGCATCTGGGGTCTTAAAAGCTTGTGAGCGGCCATCTAAGATACATCTACTGGTCCTGTCCAGTCCCGTCCAGAGCAAAGGAGAATGAAGAAAACCAAAGACACATGGGAAATACTAGTCTAGAGGACTAATGGACCACAAGTACCACAGCCTCCACCGTGCCCGGCTACCACCACCTACCTGTCTAACAGGGATCACATCAGAGGGTCCCAGAAAGAGCAGGAGAAAAACGTAGAACAAAATTCAAATTCACCAAAAAAAAAAAAAAAAAGACCAGACTTACTGGTCTGACACAGACTAGAGGAACTCCCGAGACTACAGCCCCTGGACACTCTTTTAACTCAGAACTGAAGTCACTCCCAAAGTTTACCCTTCAGCCAAAGATTAGACAGGTCTATAAAACAAACAATAACACACATGAGGAACATGCTTCTTAGTTCAATCATGTATATGAGACCAAAAAGGCACCATCTGCCCAAAAGCAATGACGAGAAGGCAAGAAGGGACAGGAATAATGGACAGAAGGAAACGGGGAATTGGGGTATGGAAGGGGAGAGTGATGACACATTGCAGGGATTGCAACCAATGTCACAAAACAATCTGTGTATAAATTGTTGAATGAGAAACTAATTTGCTCTGTCAAATTTCACCTAAAACACAATTAAAAAAAAAAAAAAGTATTGTCCTTAGTCATCATCGTAAATCCATACATCTTGGGCTTTGTCAGAGAGAAGATCATTAGAGATTAGTGCTTTTTTGAGACACTTGAAGAAGTACGTTTCTAACTTGCTCTAACTGGATCAGTATTCTCACTGTCTCCAACGTTCACTGGAAGGCAGTAAAAATGTAGAACAAAATTCAATCTCACAAAAAAAAAGATCAGACTTGCTGCTCTGACAGAGACTGGAGAAACCCTGAGAGTACGGCCCCCATACTCTTTTAACTCAGTACTGAAGTCACTCCTGAGGTTCACCGTTCAGCCAAAGATTAGACAGGCCCATAAAACAAAACGAGACTAAATGGGCACACCAGCCCAGGGGCAAGGACGAGAAGGCAGGAAGGGACAGGAAAGCTGGTAATGGGGAGCCCAATGCAGAGAACGGGAGAGTGCTGACATGTCGTGGAGTTGGCAACCAATGTCACAAAACAGTATGTGCCTTAACTGTTTAAAGAGAAACTAATCTGCTCTGTAAACCTTCATCTAAAGTACAATTAAAAAAAAAATGTTTAGATCTTGAAAGTGACATAAAGGAAGAATCAATAGAGTGTTACAAACTCATGGGATACAGCAGACGAAAAAGAGTGGGTAAAACAAAGGGGCCTCTGACCAAGGAGATCCCAATGCCGTTAACTAAAGTGGGGAACATAGGAAGAAATACACCAAACAAAAATTTGAGGCCAGTTTAGTTTTTAACATTGAACCACTGGTGCCTGGAACACAGTCTGGACCATAGTATATATTCAATAAATACGTGCTGAATAAAGGAATAAATGAAAGAACAAAAGGCAAACATGCAGGATTAGGGGAAGGCAAATTCAATTTTGGATGTCTGATGTACTTGTGGGCATTTAGGAGAGCCTCCAGAGGGACATGTTGGTGATTTTGCAGCTTCCAGTACAAAAACAACAAAACATTCATGGCTATAATCACCGAGTACAGAGAAGACAATTACAGACCTGGGAACATGTTAGAGAAGCCAGTGTGAGAGACTGAGAGAGGACAATTAGAGAGGTAATGGTACCAAATGGAGGGAGTAGTGCTAAAGCCAAGAACAGAGTTAAACCAGGGCTTCAGACCAGTTGGAACAGGTTCAGTCTTGGCCAACAAAGCAAAACCAGATGAGATTTGAATTTTTAAAAGCTGGGTGACCTGAAACAATAACCAGAACTGGAAAAACGAGGGGTCAAAGCCCTGGAACAGGAGACTTGGAAGAGGCATAATGAGCCCTTTCAGGAGCCTGATGTGAGGCTGGATTATTAGCAGGACTGTGGAGAGCAACACACATTCAAAGCAGTGCGGTCGACTGCCATCTTTGAGCAGGGCACCACTGTTTCTGACTGGTCAAAATTCGACTCTGCTCAAAATCAGACAGGCAAGAAATTTGGTTGCTATGCAATGTGTATGCTGCCACTGTTTTCTAAGAGTGAGATTAGGTTTCTAGCAGGGCTTCAACCCATAATTTTCCCCATGCTGGTTCACTCAAATTTTAAAAACTGGGGTCTGTTCCGGTTTCACTTCCTTGGCCACAACCGAAGCTGGAAGAACCGGTTCAAGGCCAAGTCAAACCCACAGATCAATCTTCACTAGATGTAATAAAAAGGACACAAATGCCTAACCTGAATCTATTCAAGCCTCTAGATCTTACTACCATTGCAGGCAAAGGGCAGGAGCTACATACAGAGCAAGAGTTCTCAAATTTGCTACAAACTGGAAACAGCTGGTGATCTTTAAAAACTACTAATGTTTGGGCTCCATTCTCAAAGATGCTAGTTTAACTGGTATGGGGTGAAATGTAGGTATCTGGATTTTTAAAAGCTCTCCAGTTGACTGCAATATGCAGCAAGGTTTGAGAACCACTGGGACAGTGAAAGCTATATGACACCAAAAAAAGCCATCAGTCAAATCCAAAATGTACAGTATGCTACAGAGTCAAAAAAGTGGGAAGAAGTGTTATAAAATGGAAGTCTTATGAGAGGAATCAGAGCTCACTGGACAAGTGGTTGATTCCAGGGCTGGGGCGGGGAAAACACAAATGAGACTGGAGCACTTTGTGGTGCCAAAAAGTAAAGAAGTGCTCAAAAAAGGACAGAGACATGTCGAAAGGACACAGAAGCCAACGTGAGAGAGCTCTCAATGGCCAAAGCTAGAACAACTGGAGTAACAAAATACTCTAACACTGGATTATAATCTGTAGAGTATCCATGAGCCGCACTCATAAAAGCAAATAACTGAATAAATGAGAGAGAAGGATAGCTCTTCCTTATAAAAGAATAACTCCAATTTATAAATATAAGAAAAAGAGAAATTTACCATTGGAACACCACACAGTGATAACTGTTGCAGGCAAGATCCAAGGATGTACGCTTAATTAGTGGATGAAACTTTGAGGAGAAACAGAATATATGCCTCGTCTCAAAGTATCTCCCTCAAGATATTTATTAATAACAAAGGAAAACACAGTAACTTTACAGGGCTGAAATCTGGCAGATACCACCTTAACCAAGTGATCAAGGTTAACAAGGTATATCAATTTATTATGTAGCCCCTGATATGATACACTAAAAAGCGCATAGAGCTTCTGTGGTATTCTTGCCAAAAATGCATAACCTCAAATCTAATCATAAGAAAACACCAGACAACCCCAAACTGAGGAACATTCTATAAATAACTGACCAGTATTCTTCAAAAGGAGCCCTGGAGGCGCAATGGTTAAGCGTTCAGCTGCTAACTAAATGGTCGGCAGCTCAAGTCCATCAGCTGCTCCTTGGAAACCCTATGGGGGAGTTCTTCATAAGTGTCAGAAGTCATGAAAGACAAAGAAAGACTAACGAACTGTCACAGACTGAAGAAGACTAACATGACATTAACAATTAAATATGATATGGGAATACAAGATTGAAACCTGGAACAGAAGAAGGTCATTAGCAGTAAAACCATTAAAATCCAAATAAAGTCTATAGTTTATAGTATTATACCAATGATACTTTCTTGGTTTTGATAATTGTATTATGGTTATGCAGGATGTTAATATTAAGTAAAGTAAGGTGAAGAATATATGTACTATTTTTACAACTAAGTTTACAAATAAACCTAAAATTATTTCAAAATTAAAAGTTTAAAAAAAAATCTTGGGAGACACGTCAAAAGTAATACAGAGGCCTTGTTTGAACCCTAACACAACTAAGAAAATATGTACTGGATATTAAATTATATTAAGGAATTTTTTTTAGTGTAATTATGTTAAAAAATTAAGAAATCTCAAAGTATTTCTAGGTGAAATTATATGGTATCAGTGATTTGATTTAAAATATTTCAGGAAATAAAAGGGGGAGAGGTAAGATACAGATGTCAAAATGTTGATAATTACTGAAGTGATGTAATAGGTATCAAACCCTTATTTCTATTAGAGAAGTAGAGCAGCCCCCTTTATCTGTGGTTCCACTCTCCACAGTTACCCATGGTCAACCCCACTCCGAAAATGTTAAATGAGTAGTGTGAGGAAATCTAGCACCTTCTCACTGCATCCCGCCTGGGGACCCCATTCAGATAACTTTTGTTACAGTATATTGTTATAACTGTTCTATTTTATTATTAGTTATTGTTATCAATCTCTTACTGTGCCTAATTTTTAAATTAAACTTTATCACAGGTATGTATGTATAGGTCAAAACATAACACACATAGGGTTCAGTACTGTCCGTGGCTTCAGGCATCCACGGGGAGTCTTGGAACATATCCCCTGCAGATAAGGTGAGGCTACTGTATTGGTAGATTTTTATCATTGGATTACAAAACTCTGAACAGGATGGGGTTTGAATATACATGTGTGTGTGTTTTCTTTTCTTTTGGAGGGAGGACTGCAAACACCATTATTTTCACGATTAAAATTTTTAATTGAAAATAATTCATTTTAATCATTTTTTTGAATATACGTTCATATAGTTCAAATTTCAAAAAGACACAAAAAAGGATATAAAATGAAAAGATTCCTCCAACTCTGCATCCAGCCACCCAGTCCCCCTCTCCAGAGGCAGCTAATCCTATCTGTCCAGAGGAATTTTAGGCACTTAATTAAGCACAGAGCCTGCTCTCCCTCCCCCGCTTTTTTTAAGGCAACTGCTAGCACAGTATCCACAATTCTGTGCCTTCCTTTGTTTACTTAAAAACGTATGTTAAAGTCTGTGTCTTGAAATGTTCTGCATCCCACTTTGGTAAGTGGCATCTGGGGTCTTAAAAGCTTTCAAGTGGCCATCTAAGATAATACCTCAATTGGTCCCAACATGCTTGGAGCAAAGGAGAATGAAGAACAGCAAAGACACAAGGAAAATATTAGCCCAAGAGACAAAAGGGCCATATAAACCAGAGATTTCATCAGCCTGAGACCAGAAGAACTAGATGGTGCCCAGCTACCACCAATGACTGCTCTGACAGGGAACAGAACAGAGTCCCTGATGGAACAGAAGAAAAGTGTGGAACAGAACTCAAATTCACATAAAAAGACCAGACTTAATGGTCTGACTGAGACTGGAGGAACCCCTGAAGCCATGGCTCCTGGACGCAGTGTTAACCCAGAACCAAAACCATTCCTGAAGCCCACTCTTCAGACAAAGATTAGACTGGACTATAAAACATAAAATAATACTCATGAAAAGTGTGCATCTTAGTTCAAGCAGATACATGAGACCAAAGTGGGGGATCCTAACCGGAGGCAGGATGAGAAGGCAGGAACGGACAGGAGCTGCTTGGACGGACACAGGAAACCCTGGGTGGAAAGGGGGAGTGTGCTGTCACATTGTAGGGATTGCAACTAGTGTCACATGACAATATGTGTATAAAATTTTGTGTGAGAGATTAACTTGAGTTGTAAACTTTCGCCTAAATTACAATTAAAAAAAAACAAATTTGTGTCTTGAAATCTACTTACTTTAAATAATCCCCTTCCTTCAAAGGCCCACCCCAGTGAAACTTTCTCAGACCACAAAGGTTAACAGTGATCGCTTTCTCCCATATAGCAGCTGTTGTTTGTCAGAACTGAATTAGTTCATCACCTTGCAATGCCAATGATCATTTTATACACATGAGCTGGCTCACTAACACGATGGCAAGCAACCTGTAGAAAGGGATCATGTTATGTAACATAGTGCTTTTTACCTAATAAACACTTAGTAAATGCTGGTATCAAGCAAGGAATCATCACTGAATAACAAACAAAACTAAAGGCTGGGGATATGATATAAGGTAAAATATAACTTTTCATTTATTCTATTTTAGTTATTTATTTGCTGGTTGGTTTATTACTATCTCCAAGATTGCACATACTTCCAATTTAGAAAAACTCATTGTAACGTCTTGCCGCTGGTGGAAATGAACACCACCAAACTACAAGCCAGTCTATTTACGCATTATTCTGAGAGCTCAGATTTTGCAGGGTCAGATTATTAAATCATTTAAAGCTTTTGCTGAATGCCACTTATTTTAATAAAAGTGATATGATTAGTCAAAGAATCTAAAGTTGGGTCCCCAGACTCATCTACACAACAATAATGCATCTTCACCATGTTAGTCGGTGTTGAGTTGCTCAGTTCATAAATTTGATCTACTATCTTGAGATTGACAACACATGAACACACTAAAGACTCTGAGAAGACCTGCTATAAAGAACTTATGCAATTATGTTGAATACAGAATTTCCCAAACTTATTTAACTGAAGTACCCATCTTTTGTTTCAAAACTCAACATCTCAGAGAAGAGGAATGTTCTAATAAACAGGTGAAAGGAGGCGAAAGGTCTTTAATTTGCTCAACTCTTTGCTCTCCTTTTAATTCTCCAATCCTAGAAAATCATTTAACTTCCAAGAGCCTCAGTTTTCTTATGATGGATCATATAAGAATGCCATTTTAAAGAATCATATAAACGCTATATTATTAACACCAACGATGACTATATTTATAATTACAAAAGCATTCACTACAGGTTTTCTTTTCTCTTACATCTTAGTTCATTTGTTGTTTAAAAATGAGTATACTTTTTTTCTATTTTTCTAAATGGCAAGGCTAAGAGTATTTTTCAGAATTGCTTTCAGGTTTCTACTGATTTTTTGGTTGGGGTGACTAACACCTCCATTTTGCCCACAACAGTCTCAGTTTATGCCTCTTATCCCAGCATAATTATTAGTAATATCTACTTTCACTCTCAAATATACCTCGATTTGGATGATAAAGTTTATGGTCACCCTGTCTCTGGATGACTTCACAAATTCCTTTTTATATTGCTATATTTGGAAAGGAGACCTGATGGAGCAGTGGTTAAAAGAGAAGCCACTAACCAAAAGATCGGCAGTTTGAATCCTTGGAAACCCTATGGGACAGTTTTACTCTGTCTTATAGGGTCACTATGAGTCAGACTCAACGGCAATGGTTTTGTTTTTTTTTTGGTTATATTTGGAATACAATTTTCATTTTAAAAAACCATTACCAAATGTGACAAAAAGTAACTGAGAAGATACTCTAAGATTTTATTCAAAGGGTAAATATTTTTTCTAATACACAGTATGCATTAAATACTTGGTTAACATTAGTCGAAGTATACTGCCCTTACTTAAGAAGAAACAGTCTACATTCATGGAGAAGTATATTCCAAACAGTCATCTTACCTAGAAATGCATATCTCTCTAACTTGTTGAGGTGTCAGAGCAAAAATAAAAAACTTCTCTTGAAATCGCTGAATACTGCTTTGAACTGAAGAGAAAAAATGAAAGATAATATTTCAATAAAAATCTAAGGATGTAGGTATTTGCAATAACCAAGCACTTCTAATAACGAGCCAAATTCTGAAACTTTTATGGTTGAATATTCCAAAACAAAAAAAATATTAAATTGCATTAGTTTGGAATCGTAAGAACAAAATCACTTCTAAGTTTTAATTTTAAGCACTTACTATTCTTTATTCTAAGATGCTAACTATAATATAGTCAAAATGTAGCAAAATCACATTTCATCCTTGACTATATATAGCATCACCTACTGAAAAATCTGAGGAAGTCAAAAATTCTTCCCAGAAGAACTCTATCCAAGTATCCGAGTTTTTTTGTTTCTTTGTTCTGTTTTGGTTTGAGTGCTTTATATCCAATTACACAGAGCATTCATATAAAAGAAAAATTAAAACTTCAAAACTTTTAAGTTGATAGTTATTCAGATACACAATAATTAGTTGCATTTTTTAAATAAGTTTACCTAGTTAAAAAAGATTACTTAGTAAAGTCACCCTTCTTACTTATCTGTATTATTAAAAACTGAAATATATTTGACTTCACAAAGAACTGAAACTAATTTTACTACATTATTCAATGATGTTCTAGTGCTCATTAAAACAAAACAGAACAAAATTTAAAAGCTAATACAAAGGCCTCAATTCTTCTACCTTCCAGTGAGTACTGTTAACACCACCCAAGAAAAATCAGAACAGCCCTCACATGTTATTGCCCAGTTTTCCTGCATGCATGAGGACACCAGTTGAATATCCAACGTCAGAGGGCTTCAACCCGTATGTTACACCACATTAGGAAAAATATTAACTTCCTGAGTAAAACACTCTTCTCTTTAAGCATAGGTAGTTTACTGCAGCAATTATGCTCCTAGAAATCATGTCATAAAGCAGTTCATATTTTCCCAGAAAATTTTTTAAAAAGGGGTGGAAAGGGATGCTGTTTATGATAGATGTCTTCAAAATTAAACATAACTATATGTCATAAACACACTGTAAGGCATAAACACAAAAACATAACTAAAGTAGTAAGTCTCTCCATTTCCTCAATTCATATTCAATCCTCAATCTTTCCTTTATTGTGCAGGTCCCACTTTCCACACTCTATCTAATATAGGAAGAAAACAAGTACCAAAATAGTATGTACAGTATGATTGATTCTAATGAGAAAATTAAAGAACTGACACCTGCTTCAAACTATAACCATGTAACCTGTATCAACCTAGGAGTCCCTGGGTGGCACAAATGGTTAAATGCTTGACTACTGACCGGAATGTTGGCAGTTCAAACCCACCCAGAGGTGCCTCGGGAGAAACAGCTGGTGATATTTCCAAAAGGTCACAGCCTTGAAAACCCTATGGAGTACAGTTCCAGTCTGCAACACACAGGGTCTCCAGAAGCCAGAATGGACTCAATGGAAGCTGGTTAGGTCTTTTGGTTGCTATCAACCTTGACATCCCATCCTAAACAACCGTTAACACTAGACAGAATATATGAGGCACAGGTGATGAGACAAAACAGGCAGCCTCACAAGCCTGCAACTCCTGAGAAAAGGGAAACCACATGAAGGGAGCTCCACAATCACCCCGGTTTTTCACCAGCAACAATTTCCCAAATGCATTACCATAGAGTCCAAGCAGAGCATATCAGTCCCACAGAGCTGAGAAGGCAGAGAAGAGTACAGAATAGGTGAAGTGGCTAGAATCTGTAGGTAGAGGGACCAAGTAAGGAATAAGCTACGGAGGGGGCACACTAGCCCTCAATCTGAGGGTCCACATACTAGACCCTGGCTGAGGCTAGGCTGCCCATGTACATGGAGAGACTGCCTGAGGGCTAACAAAGAATGGCTGCTACAGGGTTGAGAACAAGGCAGAAATATTAGCGGTTGGGCAGTGGTGGGGAACAATGGAGTTCCAGTCTGGCCAGGGTAATCTCACTATTGTTGTTAGCTGCCATAAATGAAGGGAGAAAAAAAAAAAAAACAAAAAACCCAGTGCCGTAGAGTCAATTCCAACTCATAGCGACCCTACAGGACAGAGTAGAACTGCTCCATAGGGTTTCCAAAGAGCGCCTGGTGGATTCGAACTGCCAACCTTTTGGTTAGCAGCCGTAGCACTTAACCACTATGCCACCTACTTTAAACTCCTGCATCAGAAGAAATGCCTGGTGATCTGTTTTCAAAAGGTCACAGCCTTGAAAACCCTTTGGAACACAGTCCAAGGCCAACCCAGATTCAAGGACATGAATCATGATACATATAACTTTATTTAAGTTCTTCCCTTTTTCAACAATACTTCATATGTAGATTCTATTTTCTAAAGATGGCCACAACAGTATCTCCCATTCACACAGAAGCAATCTGAGTTCTAAGCTATAAGAAGAAAGCTTGAATGATGTGAATTAACAGTTTTGTATCAGACTTCAGTCAAGGTTGCCAATATTTTTTTTTAATATTTAAAACATTTGGCATTAATGCCTCTATTTTATAATATTAACAATAAATCACTAGTCAACAGTTGAGAGTTTCTTGCTTTACTTTACACCCTTGTCCAGAAGGAACTGATTTGTCTAACACTTACCTAAACTTGTGGGCTTGATGAGAACATCAAGGATGTCATAAAAGGGCAGGTTTTTTAACTGCACATCAGGATGGACAGGAGGGATTGGGGGAGATGGCTGCTGCATCTCAAATGTAGGCTTAGTATCTTGAAGCAGCACAGAACCAACAGGAGAGGACGGTGAGTGAGGTGTAACTGAAGTGGAAGGCAATGAACGGATTCCAGCCACAGCCAAGTCCGGTTCTACAGGTGATGAGCTACCATCCAAACTGAAAACCGATGATTTTATTGTGGATAAATCAGAAAGTCCTTCAAGAGTCCGTGGGTATCGGCGTCTATACAATTCTCTGATTTTAATCTGAACCGCAGGGCTGCAGCCACTCTTCAGTAAATGCAGCGCCCTCATCAGGAGGTCATGCTTGCGTCCACTTTTATTCCGTCCAGCAAAGCCTAGTAACACTTGTAGTTCAGAAACCCTAAAACTAGAAACCATATTCTAAAAGAAAAGAAAAGAAAAGGACATAAGCCAATAGTTACCTTCAATCATAGAAAAATCCTAACTCACTGAATCATAAACATAAAAACGGTTGAAATGGCAAATGTTTCGTTTTATACATATACATATATATACATATACTGCCACGATAAAATCAAAAACAATGAAAATTTTTAAATCCTATATAAAATATACCATAAAATCTCCTTTTTCCAGCGTTCTATCAACAGGCATGTGCTAGTAAACAGCATTTTACCCATTCATAAGACCACACTTCCACCCAAAAAATTACACTCATTTTTGTAAATTACAATGTTAATTACATTTAGCTGTATTCTTAATTTTTGTAATCTATAGTCTATTGGTATCTATTAAATAACTCATCATCTGATTATGCTCAAGCGTAAGCTCATGACTCATACTTGTTTTATGACCGTGAAATCTCAATGAACAATGAAAATATTTCGACTTTCAAAGCTGAGCCCTACCAATATACAATGTCATGTTTGTTACAGAAATATCACCAATTAACCAAACAAATAATCAGATTTATGTCACATGCATAACTTCTGATGCCTAGTAATAAATCTACCAAAATCAAGACAGAATTTTGATCCAAAATCCAACAAATTTTCACTCCAACTCAAACATCAAAGAACAGACAACATAATAAGAAAACAAGGATATTTTAAAATATTAAAGCTAAAAATCATGTATATCTCATTTGCAGTCAGGCAAACTTTTAAAACAACTGAAATTCCCAGCTGAGTATCCATATGAGAAAGAGACCTTTGAAGAGCAAGGAAATGAGCGGTTATAAATCTTAAAGGGCAAGATCCCCTCCAAGCCACTCTACTGATCTGTAGGGTATCAAACTAAGGTTACCAGCAGTTCTTATTTCACATCTCACCCTCCATTTATTCAATAAAACCTACTAAATACTTATACACACTTGATGCCTCATGAATCCCCCTGCTTGGTGACTGACAGTCAACTGTGAATTTGGAAGTAAACCATACTTGGGTCAGATTTACCTGTACTGCCACACAAGCACCATCTTATCAAGAAAGAAGAGTAAACGGGAAGTCAGCACAACTGGACTAAACCAAAGCTAAGACATGTCCTGAATACAACCACACACTTCAAGGGACAGAGTAGCAGGGACGGGGCTCTGGGGACCATGGTTTCAGGGGACATCTAGGTCAACTGGCATAACGAAGTTTTTTTAAGAAAATGTTCCACATCCCACTTTGGTGAGTGGTGTCTGGGGTCTTAAAAGCTAGTGAGCAGCCATCTAAGATGCATCAATTGATCCCAACCCACCTGGAGTAAAGGAGAATGAAGAACACCATAGACACAAGGCAAGTATTAACTCAAGAGACAGAAAGGGCCACATAAACCAGAGATTTCATCACCCTGAGACCAGAGCTAGATGGTGCCTGTCTACCACAATGACGGTTCTGACAGGGAACATAACAGAGTCCTTGATGGAGCAGGAGAAAATTGGGGTGCAGAACTCAAATTCTAGTAAAAAGACCAGACTTAATGCTTTGATTGAGACTGGAGCAACCTCGGAAGACATGGCCCCCAGACCCTCTGTTAGCTCAAAACTAAAACCATTTCAAGGCCAATCTTCAGACAAAGATTAGACTGGATTATGGACATGATACTCATGAAGGGTGTGCTTCTTAGCTCAAGTAGATATGAGACTAAATGGGCAGCTCCTGTCCAGAGGCGAGATGAGAAGGCAGAGAGGGTCAGGAGCTGGTTGGAGGGGCACGGGAAATCCAGGGTGGAAAGGAAGAGTGTGCTGTCACAATACAGGAAGAGCAACTAGGGTCAGATAACAACGTATGTATAAATTTTTGTATGAGACACTAACTCAAATTGAAAACTTTCACTTAAAGCACAACAATTTAAAAAAAAAAAAAAAAGAAAGAAAGAAGAGTAAGACCTGGAGCTGACTCAAAGCATTTTCAGACAAACCTACTCTAAGGAAAGCAATCAAGGCGGCTTCAGAATTTTCCTTCCCTTCTTGCTACTATGGCTTGGGGTTTCCCTGCCTCTCCTCAGCGCTGTACACTCCACAGCTGCCTGGGAATCCGTCTCAACCAGCTCTCCACCTCAGCATAGTGCCAACGCAAGGCAGTGCCTGCAGCTGGCACTGCCTCGTAGTAATTCTTCTGTTCTGCACTTTTATGTCTTAACAGTAGTCCAGAAGCAATTGTTCCATGTCTTTTAAACAGATATTGAGACTAACACTTGATAGTTTTCTAAAATGCAAACAAATTTAAATATGCCAAAGTAATCAATATATACATGCTGTACTGTAATTCTACTCCAGTCACTTATATATCTTCAAGTTTCATACTGTACAAGTCAGAGGAAATAAAGTTGTGATCCCAGCAGTCATTTTACACTCTGAATCAGCATTGCCTGATAAATATAATGTGAGCTACAACATATTTAATTCTAAATGTTCTAGCAGCCACATTAAAATAGCAAATTTTAAATTAATTTAATTTTAACAATATATTTTATTTAACCTAATAAAAAATTATTTCCTCAGGTAACTAACATATTTTTCAAAGGTCAATGGTTTCTTGGTGTGTGCTGAGTCTTAGCTACCCAGAGTGTACTTTATATTTAGAGTACATCTCAATTCAAACTAACCACATTTTGAATGGTTGAGCCGCATGTGGCTACCATACCGGACAGTGCACCTCTAAATCATACTCTAATAGCAACATATATCACAATGCCATGGTCATTATATTTTAACTTGCTTCATATCCTCCATGTGTAAGAGGAAGGTATTATTTTTATTTATCTTAACCCTATGCTGTGGACAACAAAGATGGCAAAAAAAAATTTTTTTTTGGGGGGCCTATCTCATGACATACCACTTATAGTTATTCTATTACTCAAGTTCTTATGCAAAAAAAGGACTGATAACTTTTTCAGTAACTGTCTTCCCAAGTAAGGGGATGCAATGCACTATTCCCAAAGTCCTCAATCATAATAAATACTTCAATTGAGGTTTGCTTGTATTACAGTAGTATGAATAACACAATCATGGAAAACACTAATACCTGACTAGCTCAGAATTCACTACTTCGCTTCCCTCCTTCCACTTATTTTCAGGTATTTTTCACTTTAAGGAAACACGTTTTAAAGAAATGATAAAATAGAGTACAAAGTCACCCTACCAAAGTTTGGCCCTCAAAAAGGAATTTCTGGGAGGCCTCATATCATATACTTGTAACGGTATCATTATTTGGCAAAAGATGCTAATGAAATTAGCTCTCTTAGCTGTTGTAAACATACAAACAAAAAGGAAGAAAGAGATAAGGACTCAGAACTATGAATATGGAATCACTGGATTCAGAAGCAAAAGAGAAATTCCCAAGGGAAACAGCAGATAAGATTGTCTTTGCATTACAAAATGCTACAAAGTTAAAAGTACTGCCAAACACAAGCCCAAATATAGTAGTTTTGACAGTCAATGGGGTCTTGTAGAAAACATTTCACCAGCAAACAGTAGTTGTAGGCCAAGTCCTGGCAGCAAGACTCAGAACCTTGAGAAAGTTACTTCACTCTGGTCATCAATGTCTATTTAAAAAAAAAACAAAAAAAACAAAAAAACCCTCACCTTTATTTACACTTACTGTTAAGATAGTCTTTAAAGAACTTACTAAGTCGAATTCTATGAATATGTTTTCCTGGCAAACTTAGCTGGATCTCATTTCTTCTTAAGGTGAAGCCTTTTTTTTTTTTTTTAAATTCAGTCTTCAATCAAGTCCAGTGAGTGATTAGAGTGAGTAGAAAAGGTCATCAGCATCCTCTCAGGGTAAAGTTAGCCTGTTATGAATACTCCCCAAAATGGATTTCAGCTCTTGTTCTCCAACAACCTCTGAAGCTCTTCATCTTTAGTCGTATTTTTTTCAAGTGGACATTTTCCACTCCACCCTGCTATCTCTCAAAAACTTTCAAAGTTTTCTAACAATACTTCAGTTAAAATTTTTACATGCTCTACACAAAGGAACGTCTCAATAAATTATCACTGACTTGAAGGAAGTTCTGACTACACAGAAATATGTTGGCATGACTGATTTAAAAAAGATGTCTAAATAATCTGGATTCTACAGAAAACTTAGTATAAATTAAGACCAAGACTTTTAATCAACCGTGTTGCTTTATCAAATTTAACGCAAAATTATAAAAACTTAAAAAGCTGGGACATTATATGATTGAAACACTCCATAAAGGAGTGAAAGTAAGTTGAAAGTGCTACATTTAGAAAAAACCTCACCAAATATGTGATAAACCATTTTAATTCTCCTGGAATCCACATTTCTGGGTCCATGAAGTTGGGGTGACCCACCCAGGCCAATTACCCTCAGGTGTCCTTTTGAACGTTGAGCCTTTAAGGAACTGTTTTCCTAAAGTCACCTTCAAGTCAAACAACAGCCTAGTAAGCAGCTTAGTGGAGACAGTTCTGCCCCAGGCATTGGGCTCTTTTGGAGAATTATCTATGTGCAGCCAGTTTCAAGAAGCAGAAACTCCAGGGTCTAACTGGAAGCTGTGCTTTAGGATATGTGGCATGTCCTTAATGACTGTTTTTACAACTGACTGACCCTGAAGCCCTACATGTGCTCTGAGAAAGCAACATGGAAAGAATTTACAATCACCCTCAGAAGACTACCCTGCCCGGATCTGCCTACATAACGTTTTCTCTATCCTCTCTTCAGAGCTCCTTCCTGATACCTGTGGGTTGAGAATCATATCTACTCAGAATAAATATATTCTGTTAGACACTAATTTTTGATGTTTCTCTGCACATTTAGGTTTTTGACATATGTAGATACGAGCATCGCATGTATTCACCAGTGAGTTAAAATAGTTCCATAAGACTGCTCTTCAACTCTTAAACAGAAGATGGAAATGGCCAAAAATAAGTTGGAATTTGGGAAAACTCTAATAGACGAGAAATCATGGTA